AAGACTTATTGGGAAAAGAATAGAAAGCAAAACAGAAAATTCAAAGCACATCTGTCGAAAACCAAGGTTTGTTCCCATGCAGCATTCTGATGGGAACATCTTCTCCTCATGGTGGTCTGATTGGAAGAGAGAAGGGAGACATGAATGATGTGAAAAAAGAGGGCTTCTCAGACTGGTGAGACCATGAAGGTGGAGCAGGAATGGAGACTCATCAGGACCCAGGAATGAGCAGGCAATCAATGAAATAAAAGTTTAAATCCAGCAGAGAAGAGCTTGCTCGCATTGCACAGAACTGAATTGCCTGAAAGAGTAAATTCACAGGGGTTGGGTGCCTTTCCGGGGAATGACAGACCTGCTGAGTGCTGTTAGGCACCAGTACAACATCTGGCTCAGGAAGTTCCTGAACTGCAAATTGTTGGAAGCAGGGTGGGTTTTCCAGGGAAAATACGACTCTGAATCTGCATTTTTGTTCTATTCTTTCCTTTCCCAGTTGAGAGCCACAGCCAGAAACTGGGTATTGGGAGATTTTCAGCCTTGCCCTGACTGTGCAGCCACTCTCACCCCACAAAGGACCTATCTGCTCCTGTAGTAAAAGAATTTCTGGGTCTTTCGACACTCAGAGTTAACCAGAGTTGATCTCTAAGTTTTTGTTTGTTCATTTGTTTTAAATAATACCAAATTCTAGAAATGAATGCCTGCTTGCCCCTGTTGTATCTCAGAGGGAAATGATTTTAACCTGAAATAAAACCTGAAATAAGGGGATATTTGGACATGTTTACAGCATCTGTGGGGCCAGAGATTCATGTGGGAATGATGAGACAGCAAATGAAGAGAAAGTTGTGGGAGAGCAGCAACGAAGAGGGAGAAGAGAAATAGGAATTAGCAACATGGTAAGAGCACAGTAAAAGGTCTTGAAGCTCTGGAAACCCCAGGCTGCATGAAACAAGTTGAGTACACAATTACTAAGAGGAACAGAAACAAAGAGATTAGGGGAATTATACTCAGATCCTGTTTTATAGTATTATGTGAACACTGCCAACAAATGCAACAGCTTTGAAGCAATTTATTTGCACTCCTGCAAAACCTGAGTATTTCAATAGCAGTCCAAAGAGCAGCTCTGGGGTGAATTTTGGTGGCTTCAGATCTCCTAGGGCCACTCAGGGTTAAGGTGTGCAGGCCTGGGCTAGGGATTGGTGCCTGTATGCTCTCTGTGAGGAAAGAGAAAGCAGAGTGCTGCACTTGGCAGACAGCAGACTGAAAGCTTGGGACAGCAGGAGGAAACCTGCAGCCAGGACTGGGATAGCTGTCAGGGACAGAGAAGTTGTCCCCACTTATTCAGCTGAAAAGCAGAAAGGTTTCCACATGGGTCAGGGAGCCTTTTGGGGAGAAGGGAATGAAATGCTGCAGTTTGAGTGAAAAAGCCAATACCTCGAGGACAGGCACTCGGTGGGCGCGCAGGGAGGTCCCAGGCTGGCGGCTGAGCACTGGGCGTCTCTCTCTGGCTGCTGCTGCAGCTCTTCTGAAAGCCAGTGGGATTAATGCTGCTAGAATATATGGTTTGTTTAGTTATTTTTATTGACCCGTGAATATACCTACTGTATAATTTATGGACCCATTTGTGGTTCAGTCCTGCGATGTTTGCTATAGAAAATCTCCATTGAAGCCAGCGGGAGATTTTGCTAGGGTGAGAAGTGCAGGCCTGGCCTCTGCTTAGCCTTTTTTCTTTTCCATTGCAACACAATTAACCTTTTCATTAGAAGAGCACTGTTCCAAATAAGCAAACCTCTCAATGTGTATTACTGAGCCATCTGAAGCTGTCTCTTGCTTTGGAACAAAACGTCTTTGTTCCAGCCACACATGACATTTGAAGACCTATTTATACAATGTGTCAGCTCCATTTGTTTTCTTCATCCTGATATTTTCCTCTGTATTTTTGGTTAGCCATCCAGATTGCAAGGAGCAAGGCTGCTGCTGGTTTCCTCCTGCTCTGTTACAGACTGAGCCACTGGCTGCCCTTGGCCTCTCTCCCCTTTTGCAGGCAGAGGTGAAACAACCCAAAATCAGAGTTTTGCCTACCTCATCCTCGCTGTACTGAGATTAATGCTACCAGACAGCTTGGGGTGGAGAGCACTGAGAGCTTGCAGAAGGACCTGGTATGCTCACAGTTTCTCTCTTGCCACCCTGCCTGTGGGTGGCTGTGAGATGCATGGAGCCACAACCCCTTTTGCTACAGGGGACCAGGTTGCAACATGTAAATATCCCATCCTGCAAGGTACCTGCATTTCCCAGAGACTTGCTCATGCCCCAGGTGTAGTAATTCCTTCTTGTCTGACAGCTCAGTGATAACTGATGCAAAAAAATAAACAAAACCCATAGCAAAACAAAAATAAATCCCTTATCAAGTTTTCGAGGTTTAAAACTTGAAGCCTTCTGATTTTATGATCGGTTATAGGGTTTTGGTCCATGTGTGGTAATGGAGTAAATGGAGTTATGGAGAATTGGTGTATCCTCTCCCCTGGGATAAGTAATTTATCTAATTTAAGACCCGTGTTCTCTTTGCAGAATGGACCCCACGTACTGCCATCCCTGCTGCATAAGCAGCAGCATGACATCTTTCCAGGCACTGGCACTACCTAGAGACTAAAGAAAGTTTAATTATTTTTGTAATCACAGAATCACAGAATGGTTTGGGTCAGAAGAAACCTTAAAGATCACCTGGTCCCAAACCCCAGCCTTGTGCAGGGATGCCTCCCACCAGGCCAGGTTTCCCAAAGCCCCATCCAGCCTGGCCTTGAACACCTCCAGGGATGGGGCAGCCACAGCTACTCTGGGCAGCCTGTGCCTCATCAAACCTCTGAGCGAAGAATTTCCTACTCATGACTAACCTCAATCTATCCTCTTTTAATTTAAAACCATTCCCCTTTGTCCTATCATTATCTGTTTGAGAAAAAACTTGATCTCCATCTTTTTTATAAGTACCCTTTAGGTACTGAAATGCTGCAATGAGGTCTCCCCAGAACCTTCACTTCCACAGGCTGAACAGTCCCAGCTTTCTCAGCCTGTCTTCACAGGAGAGGTGCTCCAGTCCTCTGAGCATCTTTGTGGCCCTCCTCTGGACCTGCTCTAACAGCCCCACATCCTTCTTGTGCTGGGAGCCCCAGCCCAGGATGCAGCACTCTAGGTGGGACCTCACCAGGGCAGAGCAGAGGGGCACAATCCCCTCCCTCCACCTGCTGCCCACCCCTCTGTTGCTGCAGCCCAGGATGCAGTTGGCCTTCTGGGCTGCAGGCACACACTGGTGGCTCGTGTCGAGCTTTTTGTCCACCAGAGCCCCCATGTCCTCTGCAGGGCTGCTCTCAGTGGGTTCTTCTCCCAGTCTGTGCGCATGTCTGGGATTGCCCCAGCTCAGGTGCAGCACCTTGCATGTGGACTTGTTGAACCTCATGTGGTTCACATGGGCCCACTTCTCCAGTTTGTCCAGGCCCCTCTGGATGGCTTCCCTTCCTTCTATTGTACTGACTGCACCACTCAGCTTGGTGTCATCTGCAACCTTGCTGAGCATGCACTCAATCCCACTGTCTGTGTTATAATCCTTCACACAGCCTGGCAGATGAAGCTTTCAGGCTGCTTCAGTGCATGCAGGGTGCCAGGGAAATACTGCAATCCATACTTGAATCAGAAAAGGAGGCTGATGGTGCCAGCCCAGCCGTGGCAATCCTGGGGTTGCAACAGCAAAACCTCATCTGCTCTCCGTAATATTATCCTCATTTCAAAGCTTGGATGAAAGCTGGGGAAGGAAGATGAAACATCTCCATGCAAGCAAGCCTGGTCATGCCAGCTATTACATAGTCCAGTCTAAGCCTTTGATAAGGCCAAATAGGTTTCTTTGTTGGCCTCATGCTTCCCCATCCACATAAGAGGAGCTGGGAGGTTTGGGCTATAAGGTCAGAGATCCATTACCAGAGCATCTCACCATCGTGTTTTATATCGACATTCCCTCCAGCTCTTGGGGAAGTGCACAATCTCCACTAAACAAAACGCTGCAGGTTATTTTCATGCTAAAAGCCTAATGCAAGCTGTATTGAGCCAGACTGCAGTCAGTAGCCCCTGTGCATGGTGGCTGGGCTTTTGCTGCAAGTCATGGGGGCAGTGGCATGTGAGGAGTCATGCCTCCAGCTCTTCATGCCTCCAGCACATCTGCAGTGCTGCTGAGCCTTGCTTTACATTCCAGCAGCTGTGCTAGAGCTGCGTGCATGGCCTCACTCAGCACAAATGAAACCAAGGCATCCATATGCTGTACATTAAGAGAAAGAGTGTTTGATCTGCAGTGAGCCCTGGAAGCCTCCTGCTCACTGGCTCGCTGCTCACATGCTCCCTCCTCCTCTCTTTAGCAGTTTTGAGGAGTTCACAGAGCCCGGTGTCAAAACCTGTAAATGCATGTGTTTATTGACACTATGATGGGAACTGCAGCACTTAAAACTGTTGAGAAAAAGCTGTTGGCCACAGCCATAAAACCTGCCCTCATCTTTTCCATGATGGTGGCGGAAAAGAAAAATTCAAGTGGTATTTTCCTATTTAAAGAAGGGAAAATGACTGCCAAAGTGGATGGAATTTAGTCCAACTGATGCAACGCCTGGGTTAGAAAAGCAAAATGCAAATCTCCCCTGAGCACAGGAATGGCAGCCGTGCATAGCCAAGGCCACCACAACGATGCCGCAGCCTGGCACAGGCAGGGCACAGCTCGGGTAACGCCGGGCTTCGAGCCTGCCACCCAGCCTGTTATTGTGCCACGTATTTTGGAGATGCTTATTACAGTCGCATCACTCATTGATGTTATGTTTTACTAAGAGGTTACAGACGTCTCTGACTGACTGATGGTGAGACAGAAGAGGAAAGCTCCCCTGCAGAGAGGGCTTCTTGTTTCTCCACACAGCTGGGGACCGGGCAGTGCTCTAGCTCAGAAGTGGTACAATGAGGAAGAAACACAAGCAACAGCCAGGTAACAATAGAAATGAGTTTTATTTTGTAAAAAGTTATAAAATGAATATTGTACAAAAATAAAGTCTGTAGAGAACTTTGGTTGATTAACACAAATGACTGAGACATAAATCGCAGGTGAAGTAAAAAACTCCAGAGAAGCACACTCCTGTTTTCAATAAGGTTTAAAAAAAAATCACAAACTTTACCCTTTTGTATTTTTAACATAGTGATTTGCTTTGGTGGCAGCCTCTTTGAGCTGCGCAGACAATGCTGTGGGGGTAAGTGCTGAGCAGCAGGGGCTGCGCACCCCCGAGCGCTGCGCGCAGCCAACCACCCCGCAGGGCAACTCAGCCCTGGCCTGGCAGGTTGAGCTGATAGTGCCCAAATCACACCGATGCCAATGGTGGCATCTCAGCTGTGCCCTGCCCAGCACAGGGGCTGAGGTATCCCCATGACCCTGCAGGTGGTCTCTGTGCTGCCTCCATCAGCCCAAGAAAGCTGGGGGATTGGACCCGATGATCTCGTGAAGTCCCTTCCAACCCCTACAATTCTGTAAATCTGTGAAAGCAGCGGAGGTCGCGGATGAATTATATTTTGCAGACAATGCACATCTTTCTAGGTGTGTTCTGGACTTTTTTGTCCACTAGAGCCTTCTTGTCTGGTGCCCGAGGGGCCCAGGGCAAAATGAGTGAGGAGAGTCAAGTCATTGCACGCATGAGATAAAAGGTTGGACCATCCTTTTTGTTTTTCAATTGGGATTTTTTTTCTTACTTTTTTTTTTTTATTATTTTTTTTTTTTTGGTTTTGTGTGAGTTGATGCTTCACTGATTGTCAGGTATGTCTAGAGACCTGCACTGCTGCTCCTTCAAGGAAAATAGTCTATAGAACAAGCGGGCGGTCAGGTACAAATGCCTTTGCTGTACTATCCCCTTCACTGTAAGGAAACTCAGATTGCTCTGCTGCATGGTATGATCCTGTAATGTTTCAGTAAATTATATAAAACTCTTTGGTTATTTAACACAATTGTTTACCTGCAAACTATATTAAATCCAGGGCTAACTAATAAGAGGGATTTAACTTTTTCTATATGGAAATACGGAAGGAAAAGCTTAAATAAATACAACAAGAAATTATAAGGCTAAATGTGATTAATTTCCATTTGTCAATAGTTATACGAGGTCAGTTGGCAAAAAGTGTGAGAAAAAAAATGTGGCTACATTTTAAATATGACTAGAATTAGTTTGTCTAACAAATGGCTAATGCTGAGCCAAGTGCTGCGACCCTCACTCATGTAGAGCCATTTGCTCCTCCACTGGTATGACTGCAGTCACTTTCAGAAGTGTTGGTGAACAGGAGAAAGGGCTGCAGACTTTGGCACTACATTCTGTGAACATAATCAGGTTTTTGTTTAAAAGCAAAAAAGGTAAAGTAAGTGATTTTTTGCATTCAAGTTAACACTTTCAAAAGCATGGACCGTTGTTCCCAACTTATTTGTCTCTCTGTATCTTCCAAGCACCTTCTACTTTGGCACCTTTGAAAAGAAACTTTAATAAATAAGGAAAGGAGACTCATTACCGAACTGTAATAAATAACAATAACTTAATCTTAATAAATATCTTCTGTATATTTATGTCTCTGAATGGATGCATTGCATCAAGTAGTCTCTGCTCACTCACAATGACCAAATACAAATGTAGTTACCCAAGTAACATTAGTCCTTTGTAAACCAAAAGAAACACGTTTTGTGTAGGCCAGGCATGTTGTTTCTCTTACTATACTAGGAAGAAGTGCTTAAAAACTCAACTTGTTCTCATAGGTAGCAGAAGAATGAAATCCTACACTTGCTTTGAAGAAACACGAGATGGAAATAACCAAACTTAACCAGTAAGTGGAACTGTTTTGCTTTATACCGATACTGGCCCTGCAGAACTTGAGCCTGGGAATTTTGACTTTTGCCCGATACCATCTTAGATTAATCTCATTATAGTTTAGAAGTGGTCCTAAGTGCTGAGGAACCACCCTTCAACGAGCAACAGCGCAACGTGTCTTTTGGTAGAGCTGAGGGCACAGGGGATGAGCAGGGTACCCCTAAGCTGCTCCTCAGCTCAGTTTCCTGGTGCGGGTGGGGGTGACCGCACCGCAGTGTGGTACTGCAGGGTTGTGTTTTTAAGCACGTTCCTCATGGATCCGAGTCTCACTGGTGGTGGACTGTGTCAAATGGGAACGGGAGTGCGCACGCCATCCAGCCATTGGCTCTCCACCCAAGCTTTTATTTACTTTCCTGTAGGACTTCAAAAGCCTCCATCTTTTAGGCAGCCTCGCGCTCCCCTGGGCTCCCACGCCCCCTCGCTCTGCGTTCTTGGTCCTCTTTTCTCCATTCTGAGCAGAAGCTTCCCCGGGAACCTTGGTCCCTTTCTTTGCATCATGGCAGGAATGCAAAACTGGAGCCGCCTCCAGTGAGCAAGTGTCAGACACATCCACACCTTTTCGCGGAATGTTTTTTCAGTATGTGGTAAACCAGGTTATCGTCCAAAAAGGACAGGTCGTCATCAAAGGCTGTGGGTCTGCAACAAGCTTGCCTCACTTTGTCATTGACTAGTTTTTTCTTTCGGGTTAAGTTTTTTAAAATTTTGTCATATGTAGTCTCAGCTGCATCACAAGATCCACTGCAATACCGGAAGATGAGCTCTTCTTTGGTTTCGTATCCCAAATCCAAGTCAGTCACATTTAAATGTATTTCTGTTAAGACACATCCCCGATTTTTACCCTTTTGATTCCTCCTTCCCTTTTTGCTGGAATTCTCTATGTTCATGGCTGCATTTTGCCGGTTCCTCTCCCGCCTGGAAAAAATTGGAGTCTGTTTATCTGGCGACCTCCTCAGTCTTTTAATGGTGGCTTGGATAAAGTCCACTACCTCATCAAACTGATCTGGATAATCCTCTGGCATATTAGCTGTTTGAGAAAGAGAGAAAATGTTTTGTCACACATCAGTTGTCATGAAGAGAAGTTTGTCAGTTTGTGGCTCAAAAACACAAGACACATGCAAGCTGCCCTGCCCTCTACTTCAGACACGCTAAAACTAAAGGGAATTTGGAAACTCATTTGGAAACTCATGGGGAAAAAGGAATGAGATATGTATGTATCTCTGCAGGTGTCTGCTTATGCTTGGTAGCACTCTGGCTTGTCTTTCAGTATTGGATGAACCCTGTCAAAATTGAGGGAAAGAGAATCATGTCATGATATGAATATTAGTTGCTTCGTGGATGAAGCTACTGTGGAGAGTTACACAAGCTCTTCCTAGCAAGCAGCAAAGGGATGAGGTTTCTTTGAGGCAATTTTCTGTTTGTAATTGTTAGTTGTCTTTTCACACCAGCAGTGGTTAGTATTGCCAAAGCCACCTATTGATAAGGGTTTGGGGCAGGACAGAAGGAGAAATTTCCTGGGGTGCCAGGCTAAGCTATTATTCTTGGCTGGATGCCTGCTTTTTAATGCTTTTAGAGGATAATTACTATCAGAGCTTTTGAAAATTATCTTGTAGAACTATTTTGTATCACCAGATGCTTATTAGACTGAGTAGAAATAGGTTGGAAAAGAAGTATTATGTTAATTTTCAAGGGAAATTTTATTAATGCATTTTCTTTCTATGAAGTTAAATTACCTATTGCATTTTTCACTTGATATGTACTCTACCAGAGACAAATTATTCAAGTAAATTAAATGTTAAAGGCAATGAAATGTTTTGACACTAGTAGAATGAACCTCTTCAACGAGGGTGAAATTGAATATGTTCTTCTGAAATGTTCTGAGATTTCAGTTTTTTCATCATGATTTGGAATAACATCATATCTGAAATCTTCCCATGGACTAAATCCCTCAGTGTGATTTGTTTTAGTGAAGACAGTGATTTAATGACAGGTCAGGCTGTCAGGGGCCCATATCTAGATGCTTTGTATTTGTATTTGTATAGATGTTTTGTATTATTAATGAATGTATCTTAAATACTTAAATAACATTGCAGTATTAAGATTTTTTTCTCCCATTCTTATTGCCTGAGTCTTTGAAGACTTACTTCTTTTGCAGGAAAAAGTAAGAGGATGCTTCTTTCTGTACTTAACTCCTAAGTGCCCACCTGCACAGTAGACTGGTTTCACACACCACAAGGGTCTAAAAGGGCTCCAGAAGGACCTCTACAAATGTCCCACGAACTGCAAATACTGGGAAAAAATATGCCTGATGTGTTGTGCCTGTCACACAGATGAGACAGGAACAGCTCTGCAGGCAACAGCTCTGTGCCACATTTCCCTAATGAGCACTATAACAGACAAGAGCCCTGGTGGGAGACCAGGCAGCAAATGTTCGCAGCCCAGATGTGAATGCATTGACCCTGTTCACAGAAATGGGGAAGGCACAAGGCTGCCTCCCATTGCGGCAAGATGTGAGCTCTGTTAGTGTGAAAATCTGCTGAAACACATAGTGTCTGCACTTAAGGATGAGTACAGATCCCTTCCCAAAGCAGCCACATCCCAGTGGCACCCTTCACAATCACAGAGGGATGGATCAGAAATACACAGCTTCTCATGGATGGCTCCCACAAAATAGTGCAGATTGGTAAAAGAGTAATGAAGGCAGGTGATCATGTACCTTCACATAAAGAGGGTGACACATGGGAAGTGGGATGCTATAAACTGAAGAGTTTGGACCCGGGAAAAGTGAATTCCACTTTGCTTTACAGGTATCCTTGCTAAAGGCAACAGCCACTAACACCTGTTGCTCTGAAGAGATGCAAAGAAGGGATGTCTGCTAACCTACACAGCCATATGGGACCTGAACAAGGCAGGGTCCTGTGCCAAGCCCCATAGTCTTGTCCACCAATGGCAAGTGCACCCTTTGGGCACTCCTTTTGCTGCTACCTCTGTATCAGGTACCAAAACACCCACTGATAGCCATACCTACTGGAGGGGGTAGCATGGGTAGGTGCATCCATTGAATGCACTGCCTGGTTCTTGCAGGACAGGCTGGTCTGTCCATGCCATATGAACACAGCCCTCCTGAGCAAGGTCCTGATCAAGGTGGTAGGTAGGCTACATTCCTTAAAGGCAAGAGGAGGTAGACTCCATGCTAGACCCAGTCAAGAAAGACAACCCACTTGGAACTGGCTCAACATCCAATGATGAAATACAAGGATGTCCCTGGCACAGACACGGATGGAGAAGGCTTTGGCAGGAGGCACTTGCTCTTGTTGCTGTGAGACTGGGTGGCTTCTAGGTTTCTTACACAGAATCTCACTTATAACCCATGGGGAAAGATTTCTCTCCCTGATGAGATAGCTCTGGCTGTGCCATTCTCTACTCTCACTTTGAAATTACCCCACTCGTACTACTGTGACTACCCCAGCCCATACATCTGCCACATACTCCTGTCCCAATCCTTGTAGCAAACGTGACATGAGACCAAAACACAACAATCAGGGAAGCATACCAGGGTTCAGCAAAACCCATGCAGCAGTCAACCATCAGGAAGAGGATGGGAGATTGTTACAGAGAAACCCAGCCTGGAGACCCTTGTCTGAAACCTTTAGCCTCATACTTATCTCAAGCCTGGTATGCTGCTGATGCAGCGTGGGAAGTGTTTCCTCCCATCTAAGAAGGGAGAAGCAAAACTGTGGATTACCTGAATAAATAAAACCCAGCTGGGCATACTGTTTTTAAACTGCTTGCAGTTCAGGTGCAAAGATGTCACTCACCCCTGTGACGGTGCTATGTGCAGGAGTCTACTTGGTTTACTAATGTTAACCTGACGGCTATAGGATTGAAGCACTATCCTATCCAAGCCAGTGAAATACACCCTGGAGAGCAGACAAAGAGGGGAAAAGGCCCATGCTGTAGACTGTGCCCCATTTGGAGCCCATGCTGTCACTTGTCCTGGTTCATGCAAGATGACGACCCCAGCTACACCAAGGGAGCTAGTGTCACTGAGAGCCTTCTGCACTGTAAAGTGGCCTGTGATATTAAGAGGGAGGAAACATGCAGTAGAGGAGACCTATGCAACACTAATGCAGGCATGAGCTGTCAACACAGGAGAAGGTGGAAGCAGAAGGGAAAAAGTAGACAAATAACCAAGCCAACTGAGCAACAACTAGAAGAGCCCTACCTATGCACATGGACTTGCTGCAACCAGAACACGGGGTAATTAGCGGCATGACTGACTCCACTGATCTCACCAGGGTTCTAACATAAACCACACAGGAAGAAGGACTCTGAGCTGCAACCAGGGATGAAGTGTACGTGGCCAATGCAGATAAAGGAGCTGGAGATCCCTGCTCAGCTCATCCCCTCTTGCAACATCAGGCCACTTGGGAGACTCACTGGGAGGGCTGCCAGCACTGTGAGTATGATGAATGCCAATATGCTGTCTCAGAGGTGGACTTCCCCTTCAGCCCAGGGAACTGGAAAACATCCCAAGCAGATATCCAAATGAGTCCAGAGGACTCCTGCAGTGACCATCGGTATTTGGGAATTACATCACCGGAGGAAGGAGGAGGCATGCAGGTGATATTTGGGAACCTGTGGGAATGGTGGGCGCATAGCCTTCCTTGAGGAAGTGTGCTGGACCTGTCAGCCCTGGACAGCGTCTGCCTACCTACCACTGCACATGCTGTTACAGGACTATGTGTCTACATGATTTTAAACACAATGGCAGCTGCATTACTGGGCCATGTGGTGAATCCTTGCAAGTTGTCATAAGCAACAACACCCTCTACCTGTGGAGCCCAAACTTGTCACCATCAATACAGTGATGTGCCTTTTGGCATGGACCTGTGCCCCTGGCACAGCATCAAGTGCAGCTGGACCCAACAAACACTAAGTGATGGGCCCAAGCAGTGGGAATTACACTGACTGGAGTGTCTTGGTGCTAGTTTTCTGCATATCCACTAAGAGTGGTTTGCAGGGTTTTGACAGCCAGGACAGACTGTAAAAAAAAAAGCTGAAGTAGGATGCTGGGCAACCAAGCAGAAATGCTGTCATTAACAAAAACTGTGATGGGCTGAAGCAAGGCACTAGAGGTAAGTGCTAAGTTACCGCCAGATATCATACATGAATAAGCAATAACCACTGACCAAGGACTAAGAACCATATGAGGCTAACAGCAGGGAAGGCAAAGAAAGACAGTAGGACAATTCCAGCCTGAGGTGCACTCAGTAGATGCGCTCCAGGGATGCTGAGAGAGCTCCCCACACCACAGCTACTGCATGATGAGCACTTGTTTGGTCCATGCACTGCATAAGTGATGCTGGAGGTGAAGGGGTGCTGGGCTGTGTGGCCAGAGAACACCAGCACACTCTGAGGGGCTTCCTTGGCATCTAGTGCTGGTTTGTACCCTGAAAACAGGCACTCGATTCAGACATGATCTCCTTTAGTTAGTCACCCCTCTGTTGCAAACAGTTTGAAAACCATTTATAATCTCAGAATGAAAGTCTACAGCCTGGCAGCTTTGCTTCTCTAATGCACAACACTGCATAGACCGTGCTGGCTTAACTGTGCAGTAGGAAGGGCTTTCTGTGGGGACTTCACATCCCTGTTAAAAAAAAAAGATTATTATCCCTACCTATAAAACACACAGTTGGCACATGCATTTGTGTGTTATATTTGCACATACACATGTACAAATACATATAATTACATACACACACATTTTTTTCAAAACAAACTGATTTACTGACAACACCTCCCTTCTGGTGGAAAAGCTGAGAGAACAAACATGACAGATGCTTGTCAAGCTGTACAAAGTGCCAGCAGAAAATGCTCAAGACACTACGGCAACAAAAGCAGCAAAATCTTTTCTGAGCAGCAGTCCCTGGTCGCTGGCTCCAGGGTGTAAAAGAATCAAAATTAAAAAATCTGAAGCTGTCTAGGATAGGATAAGGTGGGACAGGATAGCCCACAACAGCATAT